ACCTGTGCTCCCGATCCTGCGAGCAATCGCCCCAGTGCCATAGTGCATAGCTGGAGCTATGCAACTCATGCCAGTTGTTCACTGTGTCTAGTGCTTGGTACAAGACAGGCCTTTGAAGCAGCAATGCTGGAAAATGTTACTAGCCTTGGAATCCAGAACTTCAGGTTAGGAGAACTGATCTAATGAAGTAAATTACTTTTAAAAAAACCTCAAAGATGCTTGAAACAAAGCATTTAACTTTTGAAACAAAGTTGGGTTTGGGTTTTTTTTTTTTTTTTAGTTTCTTGGGTTTTTTTTCCTCCCAATCATGGTTGCCGAGGTGATAGGGTTGCTGCTGATACTGAGCTGTACCTATACACCCAGCCTTCAGAATACCTTTTTCCCCCTATTATAGGAAGAAGGTATATTGGAAGCTTTGCTCCAAAAGAAGGACTGCCTCCCCCCCCCCCCTTTTTTTTTTTCCAATAGCTCTAAAAGCCCTGCACAGCATCTGTAAGTTTACCTTAGCAGTAATCAAGAATATTAGCTGGATTTACATGAGCAGGACTTTTAACACTGACAGACAAGCTTAAAAGGCATTACTCAAATTTATAGGTAATTTTTTGCACCTGCAGACACAGAGCAACACAAGTTAGGAGGTACCTAACTTGCAAATTACCTGAAGATAATAAAATCCTAAAGAAAGGATCACTGTGTACCAGGCCATGTTTCTCAAATGCTTTCTCCAAAGCAAATATGGAAATGATTACTGGGTGAGAGAAAGGAACTTTCTGTTCAACACAGCCCTTCTCATTTAGTGTAGCTTAAAAAGAGACAATACAAACATGCTACATTGTCTTAAAAAACTGTCTATGAATAAAGAAAAAAAGCTTTTCTGAATCGGATTTCTGATTTCCTCCTATTTCCAAATCAGCATTTTACTGGTAAAAATCAAGAAACCGCTAGGGAGGGAAGGAGGAAGAGCAATGGCTAGTGCAAACTAAATGCCCTCTAGCTTGGGGTGATCTTTGCCAAAGAAAAAAACCCCAGAAAACAATGATGAAGTATAATGTAGGCAAACTTTTAAAACTAAGCAACTTATATGTCTGAAAATTTTAACTCTATTACTAGAGTTTACAGTAGTTTATGCTTTTCCTTTTTTCCTCCCACAGAGGTTAAATTAAAAATGCCCACAAATATTTCCAGGTGCTTAAGGCAACTGCCATGGGCTAATCGGTGCCCTCACCATTACAGCTTCACGACAGGGAAGACCCGCACCAACAGTGTGTCAGGTGTGGTCCCTGATGTGTGCCACCGTGGAGAATGCTATCTGATACCGGCCAGCACTGTGCCACAGGCCAGTACAGCAGTGCTGCAATCCTGGCCTTGCAAACAGGAATGCTCCCTGTCGCTGTTTTAGTTAACTACTGCAGACGTACTCTACCAAGAGAGCATCAAAAAGCAGGGTAAGACTACGCAGTGAGAACATGCACTTAGGCGAGCGCATGGGAACTCTCCTATATATGGCCTTGAGGTCAACCAAGATTACCATCTCAAGTCTGCACAACCCACCCTATCTAAATACCACTCCTCTCTCTCCTATCTTCAAGATCCCGAATTTGAGATTGACTGTACTTAATGAGTCAAAGTAAAGACTTCTCCAATGGCTGGAAGCTAGCTAAGCGGGACGTTCAAACAAGTTACTCAAGCATAATTTTCTAGGTGCACAAGTGTATTCCAGGCTCTGCAGACACATTTTCAACTTCATCAATCCTGTTCACTTAAGACATACCATTGAATTTCAGCCATTAACTTTGAATACAATGCAATGCCAAAGTGACACCTGAAAGTCACACACTTGCATTTTTCACACTGCTAGAATATATTCCACATCGCTAGACTTTAACTCAAAATTGTATTACAAATGCATGTTTTTCTGGACTTTAAAATGACACTGGGGATAACCACAATTTAACCTTTAAGGGTGAAAAGCGTATGTTGGCTGTCTTATGGAGAAGTCAGTCAAGTGATGTGCATAACACAACTTTGGACACAGTGTTCAAAAAACCTTTGTATTTTGCTACATTAGACACTACAGTAATTTCATGCCTACTACTGTATAAAGTATGAATTCAATCTGAAGCATATAGTCACCTGAGATGATATTAAACATCCTTGGGTTCAGGATAGCAGGACAAATCAGTCGAAGAAAAACGAAGCCACTGAAATGGGAAGAAAATTATATTTTGTTCAATAAAGTTAAGAGAATTAATGGATTCAAGTTAGCGTGGAATCTTTTTGCGACAGATACCAACCAACCAGCCTGCACTCTGTGAGTATGTTAACAAGTTAAGAATATCATGCTATGACTTCAATTATGATAAAAGCTGAAAGAACAGGCATAATGATTTCCCAGTTAAGGTGAGCTGTTGAAACCACGTAGAAAGAACTTAATTGTGAAGTCATACTGAAGCTAATCTTGGACCACGCTGGTTTCAAAAAGGAAGAGCCCCTGGTCTCTGACTTCCCAAAGGTGTTCCGATGTCTGCTACTGCAAGGCATCCATCCTGCAGCCACCCACTCCCCCCAGCCAATGTATGGAGCAGTGCAGGAGCAGGTGGGCAAAGGGAACCTCTCTTTTGGCAGCAACACAGCCTTTAGTCAGCTTAAGCTGATCCACGTCCTGATGACTATATGCGATAGCAGAAGGATAATATGGGATCTGCTACTTTCCTCCCAGAAGTAATTGGTGCCATCTAGAAAGCTGGGAAAAAAGCACTCTGTTTTGACTGCAGAACTAGGAACTCATTCAAGAGAAACCCAGAATAGCCTTCGGTACCATGAGAAATACCTAACTTTCCGTTAATAGCAGAATTAAAACCCATCCACCTCGGGTTAACCTCAATTCCAGCTAATTGCTATACAATGAAGTGACATATGGACCAACTAAAGCAATCTAAATCATCTTTAATTTTGTTTGGAGTGCTTGGACACTACCAGCAAACTGGTTTTCACTACAGCAATACCAAAGCCTGACCACTTCTAAAAGAAGGAAGGGGACCTTACACTACCTTGCCTGTTGACAAGTACACAGTGATGGTAACGTTCCTATTACTTGAAAATGACACACATAGTAGTGATGTTAACACACCTTCCATATGTCCAAGACACCTAATACATAGTTATAGATGTTTCTTACTTCTCCAAGAACCATGAATTATGGGCTGGTAAGACAACACTTCTTGGCCATATGTGAAGTTAAAGTATTTTATATGGTGTGAATTTAAAACTATGAGGAAGGAAGTAATTTTTAAGTCATGGCATATACATCAATTCCTCTTTTAAAGTGCCCAAAGGTGAAGGCCAATGAGGTATGAATCTAGCATGGACCTTGCTGATACAGAAGATCTGGTGCTTCTTATCCTGGACAACCTGCCTAAATTGAGAAGAATCAGTATCTACACAGGGGGGTTACCACCAGAAAGAAATGGCAGCACCTTCTGACTGATACAGTAGTGTCATGGTTTAACCCCCGTTGGCAACCAAGCACCACATAGCTACTCGCTCACTCTCCCCCAGTGGGAGGGGGGAGAGAATCGGGGCGGGGGGGGGGAAGAAAGTAAAACCCTTGAGTTGAGATACAGGCAGTTTAATAGGACAGCAAAGGAAGAGAAAATAATAATAATAGTAATAATGATGAAAGAATATACAAAACAAGTGATGCACAGTGCAACTGCTCACCACTCGCTGACCGATACCCAGCCGGTCCCCAAGCAGCGATCGCTGCCCCCTGGCCAACTCCCCCCAGTTTCTATACTGGGCATGATGCCATATGGTATGGAATAACCCTTTGGGCAGTTTGGGTCCTGGCTGTGCCCGCTCCCAGTGTCTTGTGCACCTGGCAGAGCATAGGAAACTTTGAGAAAGTCCTTGACTAGTGTAAGCACTGCTTAGCAACAACTAAAACATCAGTGTGTTATCAACATTACTCTCATCCTAAATCCAAACCACAGCACTATGCCAGCTACTAGGAAGAAAATTAGCTCTATCCCAGCCGAAACCAGGACAAGTAGGAAAGATACCCAGACGTCTAAAAACTGTCCATTTGCTTCTGAATATTTAATCACTCTTGGACCAAAAATAGTGCAATAAAAGATAACGATCACTAAAGGCTGTGAAACTCTAGAGAGAAATCACTAGCATCCACTTGCTAAGACTAACATCACAAGAGCAAGGGATCCCATATTTATAGCATCCAGTGGAGACCTCTGGAAAACCCTGAATGCAAGCTGTGTCCACTAAGGAAAGCCGCATGGTTCTCTCTGGAGCTGGGGAAGAACAGAACGAGATACGGTATTCATGGCTGAGCAATACAGCCTTCCAGTAGGTTACCCCCTCAAAGTAAGAGGGGCTCTCACAAAAAGAGCAGCCTCCATTTGAAGGCAATGCCCCTGCATGGTACCCTGGATGACATAAGGCTTCTGGTGTCAAAATGATAAACACACGCCAAAGACAAATCCTCTGAAAGACTCCCTCCACGGGAGATGAACCTTGGCAAATCATATGACTGCCAGACACTGCAAAAAAGGAAAGATGTGGCTCTGACACTCTTAAAACCCCCAGTAGCATTTAGAAAAACAGTGTCAAGACCACATCTTTGGCAAAAATTTTTGCTTGATCTGCAATGGCAGTGGAAAGTGTTAGAGGAAGAACTTGTGCATTGCATTGGTTTATGAACGTACATTTGAGTTTTTGTGGCTGGTGCGAGTTCAGAGGAGCCAGGTTCAGTTACCTCCTGCAACGTTTTTAGAGGAGCTCTGCAATGTTTCAACATGATTGGGCTGGAGCAGAGAAATGAAACAAAACTGGGACAGCACAGAATTACATATCCCAATGCAGACAGTACCTGCAAAATTTAATAACAGCCCAATTTTCTTTTTGAGAAGGTATTAGATTCCTTACCATGTTCAGTCTGCATTTTAAAGGGCATGGATCTTAAACCACGTAAGATTTCTCCAGCAATTAACACACACTACATAAGAGTGCTAGGCACAGTCATATGGCATATGACAGGAACATGATCTTCAGAAGTCACTGCTCTCTACAGGTATCACAGAGGTTAACTACTGCTTTGAGAGAAGTTTTTCTTTCCCAGCACGAAAAAGGAAATTGCTGTTTTAGATTAGTTTGTAAAACTTGATAAAATGCAAGTAAATTTGAAGTTAAAACTGTTAAGTACAGCTATCCTGACCTCTATACTACATCAGCTTATTCTGTCAAGGCTCTAAGAACATGATTAAGAATCTAGCAACCTTATAATCCTTAATTGGGATATTGTGCCTAAGTATCATAAATATCTTAAATACTGCTGTAACCTGAGTAAGTACTATACAGTTTTGTTACTGAAACACACACAGATAAGCACACTGAAGTATGTCTTTAACAAGACTTGAAAGATTATTTTTGGAATAAAGTGGCAAGTAACTTACCTAACAACTCTGGTTCTCATGGTGGTATTAGCTGGCCACTTGTTTTGAACGGACTTCTGTAGGCACCCATATATATACCTCAATGTCCTGCAAAAATAATAGCTAATTACTCATTCCATTAAACTTAAAGAATCAAAAAAGCTGGTCAGAAAGGATCTGGACCAACCTCCTACTTGATGCAGAACTATTATCAAGTCTACATTTGTAATTTAGACATAAGCTTTACATTAAGTTTATGAGTTAATTTATAATTTAATTTCTAAAATGTCAATTTCTAAATTTATACATTTAAATTAAAAAGTAAATTTATAAATGGCAAGGAAAAACCTTCACTGATACCCAATTCTATATGCAATTCAGTGATTATTCAGATGTGCATTAAATGTTTTATAACTGTCTGTTTCCTGTCTCTTAAGTAGTATTTTCTTTTAAAAAAGACAATTTTGATAGTTTCATTTTTTTCTTAAATTTCTCTCTTCTTAACTAAACAACTATTCTTTCCATATATAAGAGTTTAGTGTTTAAAAGTTAAGCAACCATACCAATAGTCCTCTCCCATAAAAAGATGGGAAAACTGTGGTATATTCCAAAAAATGTTGAGAGCTGCATCATATACTTAAAAGAAGTACAATTTTTAATGCTACCCTTGCCAGCATTAACACAAAAGAAACACTTCCGTGCTACTCTGCCATCTCAAAATTGAGGATTTTGTTTACTTTAAAAGCTAATGACACAGCAAAAAAAAGTGGATAGGACTAACAGTTTTCATTAGATGGCTCAAATCTGAACTATGAACAGAGTTATTTTAGTAAGTTAAAAAAAAAAAAAGGACAAAACCCCCTCTCTGCACTTCCCTAGCAGACAGAAGTAATCATAGCATGGTATCATTCTACTACTACCTGCTTCCATTTTTATTATGCTGTTAATAATTCCACCTCTTTCTCAGAAGAGGAGGACTGGAAAGAATTTGTAAACAACTTGAATATCTATAATTGTCTGCAAACTACTACTGTCTTCTACCTTTTTGTGGAAATATGAGATAGATTATTTTTCTTCCCTGACCTCTTGGGTCTTGTAGCTTCTCCTTCAAAGAAAAGCACATGTGCTAGCCAGAGGCTTTTGCAAAAAGCACTATTCCTGAAATTCCTGAAGGTGTTATTTTTTTCTCCGTCTATATTCCTCTGTAGGTATAGAGCAACCCTGAAGACATCAGTCTTATGACAGATTAGCAGAAGATGAACCAGTAAGAACATAATTTTAAGGTACAACATAATTCACACAAACAGGAATTTTCAAATGCAAATCTGAACAGAAAAATGAAAACTTACGGAGGCAGTATCTCTGCAGCCATGAATATTTTCTCCACCAATTCTGAAAGTATACTGAGTAAATGTGCCAAATTAGTGTTTACATCTTCGTTTTTTTCTAACTTTGAGGGATTTAACTAAAACAAAAAGAGAAAGATTGAGTTTATTCTCCTAACTAGAACTGCATATCTAGTTCTGCAATATTACACAACGAATACTTCTTCAAAGTAAATTAAAAATTCTGCCGCTGTACAAGTCTCTTACAGAACTCACAAGTCTGTTTCAATGGCTAGTCAGGAAATGTGAAGAAGCAATCTCTTTCAGTTCTAATACACCAGACTTTTAACAGCTCAGATATTCACCGCTATCCATCTGCATGACCTTTTGGTCTCTCTCAAACCAAATTTCTGAGTACTCCTATCCTTTCCACAATTAAGTTAAACACAGAAGTTAGGAGGGTCATTTCAAAACCAACAGTTTCAGGATCAATAACAATCATTTAATATCAGGAAGTTTTACATTAAAACTAAAGTTCAGACATTGACTTTTACATCTTGAGTTTACCATAAGTTACCTCGGTTAGGCCATTCAGTAACTGGTACAGAACAGCCTACAATTGGTAAGGAATAAATATGTAATTTAAAGAAATTTTAATTAAAAAACTTAAAAGGTTCTACTATAAATATTGTTCAAGCCAACATCTGGGGCGGGGGAGGGGAAATCTCTTAATGAATTCAGTTCCTGTATTTCTCATGTAAAGAATTTTAGTTCTGAGAGATTAATAAATGTCTCTGAAGCTAATATTTATTGCAAAGATAAAACATAAAAACCAGTAGGTAATTGTGTTAACAAACCAAAATATTTAAAAACATAGTTCAAGGTATCACCTCACAGGACTGCTTGCTCTCCATTATCTTTAATATAGAGTCTTTCAGTGCATGGTGAACAAAACTTGTTGCTGTGGCTTTCATATACTGCTCCATAAGTGTACTTGCTAAAGTGGTGGCACGAAACAAGGTAGTAGCTTCATCTGAAAAAACAAGACAGCAAAGAGAAAAGTTGAGAAAAGAAGGCAACAAAAAGCAGAGGAAAAATGTGCTGTGTTTACACTTTGATATATGTCATAACTAAAGGAGAAGGAGAAAAAAAAAAAAAAAGGAAGGTGCTGGAGCCCTACCCTCCCCACCTGCCCAGAGTTCCAGTAAATTTTAGTGTAATTCAGTGCAGTACCTTCCATGCTTATCTCCCTGTCATTTAACGTCCGTAATAACAAGGACTCAAGCTTTTCATGAAGAAAAATCTTCAATAAAATGCCAGCCAGCAGTGTTCTATCCTGTCCACAAACATGTGATAAGGCATAGACTACATGAAGTTCTTTCTGGAGTATAAGCTGAAAGAAAAACAGAATTTTAAAATCTTCAGAAGCTTCTCCTAACATGTAACAGCTTTGGAAAAACTGGTATCATGTATCTGTAGTGATCGATGTCACTATAAATATTATTTAACGATGTCAGCCAGTGTTACTGAGATCTGTCTCAACCAACAAAATGAGTTTTGACAGATAAACCAAGGGAAGTTAAACAACTTCATACCTCTTTAAATTCACTGTACTCCTCTTCTGGCATGATCTTCTCCATAGAATATCGTGCTCGAACACGCAAAGATCCTGGCTCAATACCCTTTAATGGTACATGGGAACTGAGTTGAAACCACTCATCTGTTGCATGTCCTTTTTGTAATCGGCTTAATTGGCAACGCATAAACACTTAAGGAAAAAAAGCGTTGTTCAAGTAAGTTATCTCCAGCAAAACAGTGCTACTATTGAATAAAAAAACCCCAGTTTATTTTCAGCAGGGTCATCTTGTTTCATATTATAAGAATAATCAAGATTTTTGGCATCAATATATTGACAGATTCTCTCTTCAAGAGCTTAACAGACTTCTGTAAACTGAAGAAGAAATATAAAGCACTCTGTAAAGAATGTATACATATACATTCAGAAATGACACACGGATAGTGGCACAGTTTTCTTTGTAACACCCAAGTAGTCAGTAAAAAAGTGCTACCCTGCAAATCCAGGTAGCAGTCAGAAACCAGAAATAGATGAAGTGTTCAGAATTCACCGTCCTCTTTCCAGCCTTGGGCTGATCCCACCATCAGGGCTGCTCCTTGATCACTTCATTACTTCTTACTGTTTATTATTATATTGTTGCTACGGCTTTCCCAAACACTGCCATATGTATTTCTTTTATACTAACTCCCAGGTTAAGGTTGTAACAGTTTACGCAAATTATGTAAAAAAAGTGTTCCCAAGCAGCTTGTTGCCTAGATAATGATGAAAGTCAACTCAAGAATGGCCAAATCATTAATTCACCTTTCAGTCATGTTGGTACCTTGAAATTGCCAAGCAACGACCTGGACTGTGGCTGAAGTCTGGCCCACCAGCTGGCTAGCAAGCTGCAGCAGCTGGAGCACAGGCCCCTTCAGAGCAGGCAGACATGCTCCTGAATGGAGTTATTTTGCACAGAAAGGGCCCAGGCACTTGCAGAGGCAACACTGTGCCTGTGAAACACCCACCATGTTCAAAGAGGGGTCCACGATTCAAGTTTCACATTTACCCTGCCAGTCTGGATATTTTGAGCAAACGCCCTCTCTTTCCATGCCTCTCAATGAGATCTGCTTTTAAGTTTCTCAGATTAAAAAAAAATAAAAACCCAAAAAACCAAAAAACAACAAAACCAAAACAACCCCAAAACCAAGAGTTTTGTTTTTTTCACATTTCTGCAAAGCCCATACACCACACTGCCTTGCACAAATTGTCAACGGTTCCAGCAAACTTCCCATTGCTCCGGTGTTGCAAGGATATAATTCCATAATGGAACAGAAAAACATCACATTTATGATGTTCACTTCAGGACATCCCTGTTGCCTATTTCCTGTTCTTTGGAGTTGATGAACTGATACAAGCTGATGCATTCAAATCAGTCAAATAGTGTGAGAAACAATTCATCATCACCTGCTACTTATCAACAGTGTGGATGGGACTATGTCTTTAGAGCAGATAATCAATTCATTTTCCTAGCATATTTGTCCCCAGCATCAAAGCACCTCTACCCACAACTAAGCAATGTGGTTTTCTTCTTATTTTGCTTGCACACCCCCTAAAAAATTCTAATTACTCATTCAGAATAAAAGCCATTTGAAATCTTGAGAAAGAGGAAATTCCTCAGTACATGGACATATGTGTTGGTTTTGTTTGGGATGGAGTTAATTTTCTTCACAGTAGCTAGTATGGGGCTATGTTTTGGATTTGTGCTGGAAACAGTGTTGATAATACAGAGATGTTTTCATTCCTCCTGAGCAGTGCTTACACAGAGTCAAGGCCTTTTCTGCTTCTCACACCACCCCACCAGTGAGTAGGCTGGGGGTGCACAAAAAATTGGGAAGGGACATGGCCAGGACAACTGACCCCAACTGACCCAAGGGATATTCCATGCCATATGACATCATGCTCAGCGCATAAAGCTGGGGGAAGAAGAAGGAAGGGAGGGGACGTTGGGAGTGATGGCGTTTGTCTTCCCAAGTCACCATTACACGTGATGGAGCCCTGCTTTCCTGGAGATGGCTAAGGCTGCTGATGGGAAGTAGGGAATTAATTCCTTTGTTTGCTTTGCTTGCATGCACAGCTTTGGCTTTCCCTATTAAACTGTGTTTATCTCACCCCACAAGTTTTCTCATTTTTACTCTTCTGAGTCTCTCCCCCATCCCACTGGGTGGGGGGAGTGAGCAAGTGGCTGGGCAGGGCTTAGTTGCTGGCTGAGGTTAAACCATGACAACATTCTAAATCTGGGCTTTCGCAGCCACAAGTCACTGCCATGTTAGCACAGCCCATCCTCCTCTAATCTCAGCTACCAGTTTCAAAAACAAGCTTTGGCACTACTGCAAATCATAACTGTGCCTGTAAGGAAAGACATTGGCTAATAGTTTACTCCGTGGATTTGCCTGCATGAGGCAGCTGCCTCCATTCTAAAAATGTTTCTTTTTCAACGTGAACTAATTTGAAATTAACCAACTATCATGGTGCAAAACCAAACCAGAACTTCCACTCCAGTTCAACACTGTGTGGTATTGTCCTAAGAGATTTACTTATGCAACTGTCTAATCATATCTGAGCATCCCAGTTTGCAGTAGCAGCAGATGAAGTCTACTAATATATTCTAGGGCTTTATTTTTTTCAAGCCTTATTATGTATTTTTTGAATAAATTCTTATGCAAAGTTAGAGAAACAAAGAAAAATTTAAATAGAATTGATACTAAACTGTTTAGTATCATTTCTGACTATTTGAAATACTTATTTTTAAAAATAAAAATAGTAAAATAATTATGGAATACGCAGGCAAACTTCAAAGTCAAAGACTTGAAAATTCAGGAAATACTTTAAAATACTGAAAAAACAGCCTTCATGCTAGTATCAGTTTGATATTTAACTTCTGTATGTTACAATGGAAGACATAAAGCAGTGAGACCAATAACAGAGTTTTATGCCTTCAATCTGCATTACATGTCAGGAAAAGCAAGCATAAAAGCTGACTTAACCCAGTTAACTGAGAAGATGAACAGTACCAGCTTCACATGTCTCCCACTTCATAGAAGTCCACATTTAACAGCTGTGGCTGAAACGGAGAATGTTCAGGAAAGGAACCAATTCCTTGCTTTTGAAAAGTTCAAGTGTTATTCAGGCAACGCAGCACATAGGTATGTAAGATAAGGTCTGGTTTAGCTTATTTCCCCCCCGCTGCCCCACACTTCACATATTTAATAGGGCTGGGGATGTAAGCAGAGATATGTGTTCATTCAAGTTGACTTAGTCTAATCCTTAACCCAAAACGAAAGGACTGTTCGGTTATGCAATCAAGAAACTTTGCCAAACCTGCTCCTGACCCAGATAAGGAAACCTTCTATCACCTCCTATCAGCTGGATGCAGCCAAAGCCAACACAACCTCCTAAATCTGGACAGAGAGGAAGAACTACAAAAACACTTCTAAAGAAGTTATTGAAGTATCCCATTCAAGAATTATCCTTTTAAAGGTTCTTTTACTAACCAGAGCTTTGGTGTAAATAGTTTTCCAGCTCAAATGAGTAAAAGAACAGTGCAAGAACATGGTCACAACTGCAATTGCAGCCCTTTTGTCTGTCAGAGGGAATATATCTTTTTCCTCCTGCTATGCAGAAAGTTTTCTAGACAGAGGAAGGAGAAAGAGTTTTGCAGTTGAAATAGGTTCTGCAAGAGCATTCAAAATGAGTAGTAATTCTACTTTCGTCGAGGTTTTTCTCAAAAAAAAAAAAAAAAAAAAAGAAAATAAAGAAATTAGCACTGAGGCATACGTAACAGGCCAGTAACACAATATACTCAAACTGAAAACAACTGCAATAGATTAGAAATACTCTGACAGGCTTTGGAACAGACAGCTGTGAACACAACGGAAAATAAAAAAATCTTGGAACAAATTTGAAGGGGGCAGGGAAGGCGTCCTGCCCTGCAGGCATCAAAGAGGAGGCAGGGGGCTGAAGTTGCTCCAGAACAAGTATGGTGGGAAACAAGATACCTTGAGTAAGACAAAAAAAAACCTAAAAAGCACATTGTGAGGGAAGAGAACTAAACTGATTGGAAAAAAAAAAAAATCATTTTTTTCTATCTAAGAGCTCAGAATCCACGTTCTTCAAATGCCTTGTTTTCTAGAGAGCTGATAGGTCTTACCAGCTTGCTGTTAATTTGCTGGAACAGAAACAAAACCACAGTTGAAGAAGCAGCTGTCTGGGTAACACAAGGAAAATAAATTCTTGGGAACTTCTGTAAAAGGCAGAAGAAAATATGGATCCTTTCCCGTTCAAAATGATACCAAGGCAACTTCAGCTGTAAGCCCAAGACCAAGAGTGGTACAAGGAAAGCAGACAGATGAGGTAAACCAGAAAGAAAACAAGTCACATTTTGTTAAGACACTGCCAATTTTGGGGTTTTTGTGGTGGTTTGGGTTTTTTTTTTTTTTTTTTGATAATGGAAGTACTACACCTTTCCTCCCTTTCTCTTTCTCACTGGAAGCAACAAAAAACCTGAAAAGGAATTCCATGCAATCAGGCTTAAGACTCCATGGAACTTAGCATTCTATGGAGCAGACCAATACTGACAGCTTCTCTTTCTGCTTGCTTTTTTGGTAAGCGCAGTCATTGTATAACACAATGGCTACTCTAGAGCAGAGCAAGGAAAGCCATCAGATACACAGGACTGGATTACTGTGCATTTTATTACTAAAAAACATGCAGGTTCTCATTGTAAAAACATTAATGGAAAGCCAGTACCAGACATCCAAAACATACAAGCACAGCAGTATGGTGAGCATAAAAATATACTTCATTCTCTTGTGACAATATTTGACAAGAGTAATGAAAACCACACAAAGTATCCATTGTTGCAATATATATGCATCTTTTACAGAAAAATACTTACATATATCTGGATCTTTACTTTTCTTTGTTTTGTTACTAAGACTTATCTCAAATCTATTAATATCAGATGAAAGATCACTAGGAGAAAAGACAGAAAGCCTCAATTAATACTATACTTGGCTGGCATTTAAGCTTATTCTAAACTTATTGCAATCCTGAGTTCTCATTATTAGCCAAAGACACTTATATTAACAAAGATATTTAGATCCCTACAGAAAATTCTGCCCATGCAGAATTTGGCTGAAAAGTTGCTGTTGTATAACCACACATACAGTATTTTTAAAAAGCATGTGCAGAACACTATACAGTGTTAAGAATCTTAAATGCAATGCAATTTGAAGTGAAATTCAGTAATTCAACAAGATTAAGACTTACTCAAAGACAAATTCTTCTGACCACACAGGGTTCTGCCCTTCCCTGATGTGTGTTTTTGCTACCTGGACACTGTTCAGGTAGATGTTGCAATACGGATTAGTAAAATGCTTTACTGGGAGCGTATGAGCTTCTTCCACATGCAAAATAAGACTGCTGACCTGAAAAAAAAAAAAAAAAAAAAACCCACAAAATTTACTTTTTGTTGCTAAAAGAGAAATACAAAACACGTGAATGGATTATTTTTTATCCTCCGTGTGGAAGCTTAATGTTACTATAAGAATACTGAATACAAACTAAAATTTCCCAATAAAAAGACGAAGGAACAGAAGTAATGGAACAACATTTTAAGTGGCACAATGGACAAAATAAGAGTAATTCAAATAATTACTGAAAACAAATCTCCAGCCCCATGTTTTTAAAGCATCTTCTTTTCTTCTTTTAAAATTATCTTTGAGGCATTAGGATTTGCAAATACTAACTTTTCTATGTACAGAAAATTTTACTGAAATCAAAGACTGGCACCTTGAGTTACGGGTCATAGTCATAGAAAGACTCCCTCCTGAGGGGAACAGAGGGTCCAATATGGCGGGTGGACCCTCCCCATAGGGAAGTCCGCTCCCTGGCAGGAGCCCGGGTCAGAGATATCACCAGGAGACTTCCCAGCCTGCTATGGCCCTCAGAATACCACCCCTTACTACACTTCCACGGGGGTGGTGACGAAGTTGCAGTGCATAGCCCAAGGGTGATTA